TCCTACTCCTCCTCCTACTCCACCTTCTCCTCCTTCTATTTCTCTCTCCTCCTCCTCCTCCTCCTCCTCTTTCTCCTCCCTCTACTTCACCTTCCACTCCTCCTATTCCTCCCTCCCACTCCACCTTCCCCTCCTCCTACTCCACCTTCTCCTCCTCCTATTCCTCCCTCCTCCTCTTATTCAATCCTACTCCTCCTATTCCTCCTTCTACTCCACCTTCTCCTCCCTCTACTCCACCTTCTCCTCCTCCTACTCCTCCCTCTACTTCACCTTCTACTCCACCTTCTCCTCCCTCTACTCCACCTTCTCCCCCTCCTACTCCTCCCTCTACTTCACCTTCTACTCCTCCTACTCCTCCCTCCCACTCCACCTTTTCCTCCTCCTACTCCTCTCTCTACTCCACCTTGTCCCCTACCTGACAACATTATATTTAAAAAAAAAAAAAAAAAAGTTGCTCTGGCCCCTCTTCCGCCACTTCCCAGGGGGGAATACCACACTAACAAATACCACACTAACAAAAAAAAAAAAAAAAATTATTATTCATACTGTTTTGGGCACTCTCAAGGAAATAGTGCGGTCCTGACCCAGATTCCCATGGAAGTAAGACACCTGTATCATCACTGGGAGGTGGCTGCACCTCATGTTTTCTTCACTAAGTCCCCAGAAATCTCATAAAAGGAACCTGACTCAATAAAACATGAAACACTAAAAATCGATATCAGCTCTCTACAGAGGGGGGGGGGGGCAGCAAGAGAACTGTAAATGGAAAGACAAATACCCTCAATCTCACACAGAAATAGGTGGGATATCTCTTCTACTACTCCTCATGGTTGCTTTGAACAGATGAAAGAAGAAACAAGACACCTCTCAACAAGGCATGCAGTAGCTTTGCCAGATCCTGACTCCACTCTGTTTGCGGATGAAGAGGAAAGGTACCATACTGGATTTGCTGTTGCTACAGAAGATCAGGTACGTCAAGCATCTTTACTTTCCTCACCCACATCTGCTCAAGACACCAAATTGACAGCCTTCTCAGTGGCATGCAAAATGTTAATCTGGAAGACAAGAAGATTTCACATAGCGACTGGCACGCCAGTTAAGCATAGCACGGCTATTAAGAAATTGGTGGATGCCCTACTACTCCTGCTGAAGAAGTGGCCTTGCCTAACAAGCCGCAAGTGCACTAAGGAAAGTGGACAGAAGAGTGTCCGCTGAAGAAACTTCGATATTTACCATGAAGATCCTATCCACGGATCTCAAGATCCTGAAAGAATGACAAGCAGCTGCTGATCCTGAAGAAATACAAAGCTGGAAACAGAAAGGGGCAACCCTTAAAGACTTAAAGACGAGCTGTACTCCAACACTCTTAAGTTCTGTTTACCGGAAAAACATGTACTGGGCAGTGGGCCCATGGAGTTTTTTTTTGTTTTTTTTTATACCTATCCAAGACCCTCATGAACACTTTGATCAATAAATTTTCTGAAGCACCTAGAATTACTCCTCTAATCAACAGTTACTGCCGATCCTGTGTCATTTGTGCCAAGGACAGCTCAGGCAGAAGAGGAAGAGAATTCTAAGCACCTAGCTAACTCTCACTATCTCTTTCAAGAAAGAATCCAAGTGACTATATCCAGGTGCCAAAGAGTTGCTGGTTCAAATATGCACTAGTCATAATAGACATTTTGCCAGGATGGCCAGAGGCCTAGTCGGTCATCAATGTGACAACCAAGACCATATACCCAATAGTGCATTGTGAAAGTTGCAGAGATCACTCAGTGGATCCACTGTTCCAGATTCAAGACTCTCTCTGCAACATGGGAAGTAACATTTGTTGATCTTGACAAACTTTTGACTCTAATGGAAAAATTACCTGTTAAAAGACAAAAATAAATTTAAAGATATCAACAAGTAGGTGGTTGATGGCCATAATAATGCCTGACCACCTGCCATCGATGGAAAGCCGAGGACCCCAAAAGGAGTACTCGTGAAGATAAAGAGATCCAAACGCCAAGCTTCCTCAGGATTATTTGCCCATCCTGAGTTTGTGGTGATATTAATATTGACTAAATGATCCGAGTCCACCTACACTGATGTAGCGTAGGACAGGTTTAATACTATGGTGAATAAGCGAATGTGCCCTAGCCAAGGTTATTATGTCCATACACATAAAACATGACAAGGTACTCTTGACACACCACATTCATGCTTCAGAACACAAAGAGGAGCACCCCTCTAAAGGGAAGTTTGATATATATATATATATTGATGCCATAGGTGTGCCAAGGGGGGTACCAGATGATTTTGCAGTTAAAAGAAAGTTTGAGTCCATTTTCCAAACCGTCACTGCTAATAATAATATTTTGATTTGCATTTATTATATCTATTGCAACCAACAACGTTTACCTGTCAACATGACTTGTTGTGCCTATACTCCAGATAACACAGGTCCACATGGTAATGTAAGCTTGTCTATTTTATGATGTCCCTCTGAAGAACTAAGAAGACTTTAAGAACCGTTACTTCACAGGGTTTCTGTGCCTTTGGGCTAACACGTCTTCTGATACTAACAAATAAAGTTTATCTTTTAGAATCTAACATTTCATAGGGGGGACTGATGTAGAATTATTAAAATCTTTATTAGAACCTGTATTGAATTATTGTACTAACTCCATTTTAATCTCACACTATGACAGAATTCTCCATTTTGTTCACCTTACATGACAGAATTTCCTGACAGTATTCAGTATAATGAATAAGAGATTGTATTTTCTCTCTCTAAGGACATGACTAGCCCCGGAGTTAGCGGATCTCCCGTAACTTGCAACATAGTATAATCCAAGGCCAGGAGAACAGCGACTAAATGAAATGTTCTATTCATAAAAGAACTTTGGACCAGACCACGAGACTGACATCACTAACTACGTAAAATGACGCCCAAGCCCCCCTTTCCACCGAGTAAGCCTCGTGCTAAAGAGCAATGGCGACGACATCCCATGATGGGAGGGTGCCTCACTAGTCACTCAAATCTCTGAGCCAATTAATAATATTAATGGGTGGACACTGACATAGCCACTTAACATTTAACCCAATTAATGATGTTTATTTGTTATTATCTGATATTCAATGATGATGCCATTTTGCATATAAAAAGGCCTGCGTGCCCGCTTTTTAACTAGATGCTAATAAATTTCCTGAAGTGTTTTTAACCTGAACTGCATGTGTCAGTGTGAACTTACTTCTGCGTATACGCAATTTATTCATCTCAGATTTGGACAGGAACAGATAGACTTTTAAACATTTTTGTTTATTTCTAAATTAATCTACATCACGATCACATGGCCCCCTATAAATTAATTAAAAGTATTTTTATATATATAATATATGTATATCCATTATATATATAATATATATATACATATTATATATATATGTAATGTCATACAAAGTGTATTTTAATATTAATATAAGTACATATATTAGTATTAAAATACACTTAGAATGACGTTACATATATATGTATATATATTATATATATATATTAGTTATATATATATATATATATATATATATATATATATACACACGTATAATTACAATAATAAATGAATAAAATAATAAAATAAATAAAATATTGAAACAAAATTTAATATAAATTATATATTCATATGTAATTTCATTCTAACTGTATTTTGTTAGTAATATATATATATATAGGTAACAAAATACACTTAGATTGACATTCTATGTATATATCTATCTATATATAAAATACAAATAACCGCAAATATATATATATATATATATATATATAGATATATACATATAATTACATAAAAGATTACATTAGTATACACGTAGAATTTACCTATAAATGCATATATATTAAAATTCTACGTGTATATTTAAGTAATCTTTTAACATAATTATGTGATTTGATTAATTAAAATTTGATTGACATGCCTGACAACACAGGGAGAAAGTGCAGAGAATTTAATTCGCAAGCACTATATTTGACCCTTTAACTCTCCAAGACACCATAAAACCTGTACATAGGGGTACTGTTTTACTTGGGAGACTTCGCTGAACTCAAATATTAGTGTTTCAAAATGATAAATTGTATAACAACGATGATATTTTAAGTAAAAGTGACGTTTTTTGCATTTTTTTACAAACGAACGGCACTTTTATGGACTATATTATTGTTGTAATATGTTTTACTGTTTTAAAACACTAATATTTGTGTTTAGAGAAGTCTCCCGAGAATAACAGTACCCCCCCATGTACAGGTTTTATGGTGTTTTGGAAAGTTAGGGAGTTACATATAAGGCTTGCATTTCATTTTTTTGACATTGAAATTTGCCAGATTGGTTATGTTGCCTTTGAGAGTGTATGGTAGCCCAGGAATTAGAATTACCCCCATGATGGCATACCATTTGCTAAAGTAGACAATCCAAGGTATTGCAAGTGGGGTATGTCCAGTCTTTCTTAGTAGCCACTTGGTCACCAACACTGGCCAAATATTAGTTTTTTGCTTTTTTCACACAAAAACAAATATGAACGTTAACTTTGGCCAGTGTTTGTGACTAAGTGGCTTCTAAAAAAGACTAAACATACCCCACTTTCAATACCTGGGGTTGTCTACTTTTTCCAATGGTATGCCATTATGGGGGTAATTCTCATTCCTCGGCTACCACACCGTCTCAAAGGTAACATCACTAATCTGGCAAATTTCAATTTGAAAATTGAACTGTTACCGGAGGAATAACAGGAACAAACCGCAGAAGCCACACATAGAGATATGGACACAAGTCTTCAGGAAGTAAGAGGCCTTTATTCACATACCGATCGGGTCTCAGATGGACTAATGTTCCACAACAGATCGGAGCCCAGAACACATGGAGTACATTCCTTATATTGCAATATAGCTCCTCCCATAAATAGCTACACCCACACATACCCTTAACCAATCAATGAACAGAGTCTGGACTTGCTCATCCGGCCAGACCACATGGCTCATCCGAAACAAAGGAGAAAGGAGTGTGATTTCAGTTCCTACATTCCTGCACATGCTCAGTACATTGATGACAGTATCTTAGCTACATGTAACTAACAGATACAACAAACACCTGTACTCGTATATGCCACATGGAGATTTCAGGCCTACTACATTTTGAACCATGTTGAAATCCCATCACAGAACGTTCTATATTTGACCCTGTAACTTTCCAAAACACCATAAAATCTGTTAATGGGGGGTACTGTTGTACTCGTGAGACATCGCTGATTACAAATATGTTTGGTTTTTTTTGCAATAAAACCTAACAGTATTATGACATTAACAGCTGGTGTCAGACGGAAATAGAATTTAAAAAAAAAAATCTTATTTTGTCACATTTTTTAAAATTTTATTCATAATAAATTATGTTCCATATATGAATAGTTAATGATAAATTAAAGCCCTGTTTCTCCTGAACAAAATGAAATATAATAAGTGTGGGTGCTGTGATAGAATTTATCTTGATTCCAAGGCTCAAGCTTATAGGTGTCATATAATGATATCCTATATTAAAATTGGCTAACTTGGACTCAGGAAATGCTTGATGCTTAAACAACACTTAAGACCATATATGTCTAAGTTCCGGTTGCAGAGAGCCCCCACCTAAGATGTCTCTGCTCTAATCATTTTGTTCTCTCTTACCTTGAAACTTATTTGTTATGTGTACATGACACTCATCCCTATGTCTTATCTGTATTCTCTTCCTATTACTGTTCTAAGAGTATTTGCACGTAAGCACTTACTTTTTAATGTATAAAACCCAGCTGATGAATAAAAAGTCAGAAGCTTATTTTGAATACCAACAGGTGTCTGGTGTCTAATTCTCGCTTCTCCAAGTGCACTTGTAACAACAATTTGGGCTTTTTCTGAATATAACAAAGATCAACATTTCTGATGCACATCAATTTGGTGCCGTGACCCCGGGATCTGACAGTCGAGAGACTCGGACACTAGCGTACAGGTGGACGTCCCTCTGACAGTGAAATCAGCTGCAGCAAGGTAAGAAAAACTTTTTTCTACCTTTATCAATTTCGCTGTCAGATCCACGTCCTACTAGTCTGTCTGGGTAAAGAACGACTTAAAAACGTCTGATCTAAAGAACTTGTTTTCTGTGGTATTATGGTTATATTCAGGTGGAGGTTGTGTTATGTCTTGTGAAAGGAATCTTGAGATAGTGGAATATAACTGTGGGTTGTAAGTTATTTTTATTGTTTGCCTTGCCATTTGTTTTATAATTTGAGTTAGAATCCTCCAAGGGCAGATCTCCTGATCTGTGTTTAGAAGACAAAACTGGGAAAATTCCACTGCAGCGGTCCTAAGTGTCAAATACACTGTTTTTGTACAGTTTGTCTTGTGTAAGCAAGTAATTAACCCTTACAGGTTTTAAGATGGGTAGCTCTGAAAGCACCCAAGGGGGATTTACGGCTTTGACTATTGACAAGCATCACAAAGGACAAGGAGCAATTAAGAATGTTAAGAGGTTACTTAAGAAAGCTGGCATGCCCTCAGAGGGCACTCTAGACCCACATATATGGAGAAAATTTATGTCAAATTACAGAGGTTGGTTAGAAGATAATGACTTAGTAGAAGTCACACAAAAATGGCATGATACTGCTGTTGAATTAACTAAATGTGGTTGTAGAGAAACCACCAGGAAAGGTGTACCATATTATCAATGTTTTGGACCTCTAGGGTCCCAGAGTAGGCAAGATCCTGGGAAAAATCTTGTAAACCCACCCCTTTACCAGGATACTGCAGGGACTCCTTTGGTCCCAAAAGACAAGGCGATTTCCCTTTTACAGAGATCAAAACCTCTCTTTCCAGTAATATTACTCAGTGGGACTTCATATGGTGTCCCAGTAAGACCTATGGGTTCATTAGAGCAGGGAGGTAGTCCAGACTTAAAGGAACAGATACCCCAGTGGGGCCATTAGCTCCACAATTTTCTACTCCCATAATACCCAAAGTTGAGAGTGTATACCATGAGCACAGACAGCCGAGCTCAGGTATCCAGTACTGTGAAGAATATAAGCCCTGGATACCCAGTGAACAACTGGCAATAATACAGCAGCTGCCAGATGTTGAAAAGGCCTCCTTAGCTCTAGTCCAGTCTCTATCCACAATTCAAGCTACTTACCAGTGTACTTGGATGGATTTAAAACAGATTGTGGCACTAAAAGCTGGCCCCATTTGGGCTAGAATAATTGCTAAATATACAGATGCCCATGAAGATAACCTCAGAAAAAGCAACATGCAAACAGATGAATGGTTTAGAACCAAGTCTGCATCTGGAGCATGCTATGTCACTGCAATGAGAGAATGGGCTAAGGTAAAGACAGAAGAACTAGCCCATAAATTAGGAGATATACTACAAGGGAAAGATGAATCTGTAGAAACATTCTTCACCAGACTACAAATGGCTTGGGAGGCATTGGGTTACACTGATGTTGTAACCACTTCCACCAGACTGCTTATTAACTGCTTCATGGATGGTATCCACATACCCATAAGGACTGGTCTCCAAAATGATAGACCTGAGTGGAGAAGTTTAACCTATGGTGATCTGGTGAAGGTGGCTAGGGGAGTGGAAGCTAATCTAAATACTAGAAAGAGGAGCACACCTCTAATGGCTGTAACTGTCCCTAGAGCTGGTGGGGACAGAAGGCAGGTAGACTGCTGGAATTGTGGCAGGAAAGGACACATTAAACGTAACTGCAAGTGTCCTCCTAAAAATAGAAAACCCCAAGATTCTAATGATAACTCCCATGACAGCCAACCACCACCACCACCACCTCCCCCCCCCAATAGGAAATTGGCAAACCAGTGTCCCTACATATCATCAATATCCCTGATTCTGCAGGACCCTCACCCATTATCAATGTTACACTGCCTGGGGACCGAATAGTCCCTTTCCTGTTGGACACTGGCGCTGCTAAATCAATGTTACAGGAAAAATATGTATTCCCGTATGAGAAATCTAATGATGTATTATCATGTGTAGGGGTAGATGGTATAGAAAATGACATTCCCCTTACCCACAAGTTGAAATTGAAGCTACACGACTCTACTGCCCTTGTAACAAGGCTACTTGTCAGCCCTCATGCCCCTGCTAATCTACTAGGCAGTGATATATTGTCTGCT